ACGTGGCTGTTTGGGTTCCGTCCACTTATCTGTCCGACGGGAAACAAACTGAGACACACACACACACACACACACACACACACACACACACGCACACGCGCGCACACACACGCACACACGCACACGCGCGCACACACGCGCGCACACACACGCACACGCACACGCGCGCACACGCGCGCACACACGCGCACACACACACTTCGTATTCGAGTTTGCCAATTGCTGTCCAGGTCTCCTTCCTTTCTCGTTTTTTTTCGTTGTCTTTGGAAATGANAAACTGAGACACACACACACACACACACACGCACACGCGCGCACACACAGGCACAGCACACACACGCAAACACACATGTCTAGGAGAACAACCTTTGGAATCCAAAGGTTGTTCTCCTAGACATGTGTGTTTGCGTGTGTGTGCTGTGCCTGTGTGTGCGCGCGTGTGCGTGTGTGTGTGTGTGTGTGTGTCTCAGTTTGTTTCCCGTCGGACAGATAAGTGGACGGAACCCAAACAGCCACGTAGTAAAAGGCGAAGCTCGCAGAAAGGGTGAGCATTTATAGTCTTTTCCTACATTTACACAAATTGTCATTTAAATATTTACTCATGAGGTTCTGTAACAAACCTGTTCGACATAAGGTCCTTCGTTGAATCTTATTAAATATTTGAGAAATCACTCTAGCTAGCGAGTTAGCATCGTTAGCTTGACGGGTTCCGTCGTAAACATATATTGCTAGTTAGCTTTCTCGCTGGCTAGTCTCGATTTAAGTCTCACTTTCTTGTCACAATAGCTGTATTATTAGGCAACACATGGACGCAATTTGACTGCATTTAAATGTACGTTTATCAATGGCAGTCTTATTTTTCTGACGGTTGCTAAACACAGGCTAGCTAACTGATCTGCTGTCAGATGGCTAACTGAGCAACACCACATTTCAGTCAAAGGTGATCATGTATAGCTATGCTTTTATGATATGACTATAACATGCCGGAGTTTTGTGAAACACTTTATTTGTAATTGTACTGTGCAATAATCATAATGTGTGTTCTGTGCAAAACATAATTTTTACAATATCTTCACTAAGCTATTGAAAGGACTATCATAGAACGTATTTGTCTTTATTTTTATTTAATTACCAATGTGTGCTTTTTCTCTATATTTAACACGTTAGCTTACTCTATTGTTGTTTACCTTTTTTGCTTGCTATTTCACCTTTGCTGCAACGCTGTAAATGTCCCCCTTTGGGACAAATAAAGAAATGCTGAGGTCGATTGTTGCATATATTCACCAGCTGTTAAAAGAAATGGCAGAAGCTTTTAAACAAATCTGTTCACCATTTGCGGTGTTTATGCAAATGTACACACATGTATTGTAGGAGCTGCTTCTCTTTCTATAAGGCAGATATTCCCCTCAATGTACACTAAGCTCATGTATCACAGTTGAAAGGCTTTGATTGAAATGCCTGTTTGCTGGTTGATAAGGTGAATACCTGCCTTATCAACAGCTTCTTCACATTCCTGCTCAGATTGAACTCGATCTGTTCTAACTGAACCTTTGCTTTGCC